GCAGACCGGGCGACATGGGCCGATCCCGAGCCACCGGCGGCGTTCGGCCTGGAGCGCCCGCGCTTGCCGCCGCGTGGCCACGACGCCAAAGTGCCGTATCCCCTCTCCTCGTCGTCCTCGTCGTCGTCCTCCCCGTTCTCCTCGTCCTCGCCCTCCTCGTCCTCCGCGTCCTCCTCCGTGCTCCCTCCCCTCATCGTCCTCGTCGTCCTCGTCCTCCGCCCTCGCTCTAACTATCTGCCCCGCCAGCGCAAACATCCGACGCCAGGACCTGCCTGATGCGACGGAGAGGATGATGATGATGAGGAGGAGGAGGAGAAGGACGAGGAGGAGGAGAAGGAAGAGGAGGAGGAGGAAGAAGAGGAGGAGGAAGAGGAAAAGGACAGGACAGGACATCCGCATAAGAGGATCAAAATCAAAACACCTACGCTAATGCTTTGCGCGTTTCTGACACAATACCCTGCGCTTGGTTGTGCAATGGCCCTGCCTTCTCACTACGGCCAGCAGGGGGCACGCCGCGTTGCTCAAGGAGTGGGTTCCGAGGTGGCCCCGTAAGAGAGGCTCGCTACCTTACGAATGCGAGTCCCTGCGGGTCAGAGCGGGGGGGAGCAACAGCTGGCCTTCACGCGCGCCCCAGGGGACGGGGCGCGCGGGTTTAGCAGCGCGTTTAAGCAAAAGGGGAGGAGACAACGACACGACAACTCCAAAAAGGAGGACGGGGGAGGGTCGGGAGGCCCGTGTTCCCAAACTGTGTGCTAGGGGGCCTGGCTACCCTACCGGTTTTATTGCGCAGCACCCCGCTATTGCGGATAAGAGTGAGGGGGCGGGCGCGGGCGACGCGGGCGTCGAGCCGGCGGACCTCGTGGCCCTCACCTTCCCTGTCGATTGCGCCCTCCTCCTCCTCCTCCTGCTGCTCCTCCTCCTCTTCCTTCTCTTCCTCGTCCGCGTCCTAGTCCTCATCGTCGTCGTCGTGCTCTGACAAATTCAGCGCGGGGGGGATTGGTGGTGGGCCATCTGGAACGAATGCAAAAACAGCCCGCCGGGTCGTGGGTTCTCAACTGCCACCTGGAATCTATTCACAAACAGCCCGCCGCAAGCGCCGAAAATGTTCATTTGTGCACTAAACGCGGTCTGTGTCGCAGGTTCTCCACTTGGAACGAATGCAATAGAAACCCGCCGCAGGCGCCGAAGTTTTGACTTGCTCAGTGAACGAAATTGTTGGTCGCGAATGGGTCGCGGGTTCTCCACCTCCACCTGGCAGGAATCCAAAAAAACAGCCCGCCGCAGGCGCCGACAACTTTCATTTGTACACTGAACGCGGTTTGGGTCGCGGGTGGGTCGCAGGTTCTCCACCTGGAACGAATGCAAAAAATAACCCGCCGCAGGTGTCGAAAATTTTCGGTGGGTCGCGGGGTGGGTCGCGGGTGGGTCGCGTGTGGGTCGCAGTGGGTCGCAGGTGGGTCGCGGGCGCGGTTTGGGTCGCGGGTGGGTCGCAGGTTCTCCATCTGGAACAACTTCAAAAGAAACCCGCCGCAAGCGCCGAAAATGTTCGGTGGGTCGCGGGGTGGGTCGCGGGTGGGTGGGTCGCGGGTGGGTCGCGGGGTGGGTCGCGGGTGGGTCGCGGGTGGGTCGCGGGTGGGTCGCGGTTGGGTCGTCGGGGGGGTCCCGTGGTGGGTCGCGGGCGGGTCGCGGGGTGGGTCGCGGGGTGGGCCGCGGGGCGGGTCGAGGGTGGGTCGCGGGGTGGGTCGAGGGGTGGGTCGCGGGGTGGGTCGCGGGTGGGTCGCGGGTGGGTCGCGGGGTGGGTCGCGGGCGGGTCGCGGGGCGGGTCGCGGGCGGGACGACGACAACAAACAATAAACAACAAACGACACACAACAAACAACCAACAACAAACAACACAAACAACAACAACAACAACAACAACAACAACAACAACAACAACAACAACAATCATTTAAGACTGGGGACACTCCGTTCTCACCAGTGCCAGGGTTTTCATAGGAGGCGGGCAATACCCCCACTTTGTGGGGGGGCCGGTTCAAGCTCTACCAAATTTCCAAACGACTCTTCGCCACCACCCACACCCAGCTTCCCGCCCTATGACGTTCGGACACTTCACTTCGTGGCATGCGGACGACCGTGGCTACTATTCAGGGCCCCGCGGCCGACGACGACGGCGTGCGCGCGCGAAGAAAAAACGAATGTGTCCCGCATGGTATTATTTGACAGGGATGATGGCCCTGGCAGGTGCGCAACCGTTGTCGCAGAAGTTCGAAAAAGTTGCTCGCAAAAGCCCGTTTGACAGAAATGTTTAAAAAGTGTTGGGTTTCCTACGAATCCGCAAGAGCGCGCGGGATGAAATTTTGACGTTTTTTTTGAAAAACCATTGGTTTTTTGATGTTTTTATGTTAAAATCGCTGCGAACACTAAGGTTTTGGAAGGATTTCGTCTTGCGCGCGCGAATGTCCACTTTACCTTATTTTTTGCAAGGGATTCTTGAAATTTGATTATATTAGAACAAGAAATGTCATTTTCTATTGTTTTTTGCAAGGGAAAGCGGATTACAACAAAACAACCGGATCCTGTACACACCCTCTTTTCTGAGGCTTCCTCACGAAAATGATGAAAATGTAGCTGCGGCCTAGGCGGCGCAGGGGGGGCGCGCACCAGGGGGCCCAACAATAATTATTCTTTAGAATAAATAATGTTCAACAACGACAACAACAACAACGAGAACAACAACGAGAACAGCAACAACAACAACAACAACAACAACAACACCAACAACAACAACAACAACAGCAGTAACAACAACACCAGCACCAACAACACCATCAACAGCAACGACAGCAACAACAAACATCAACAACAAGAACGCCATCAACAACAACAATAACAAAAACAACACTAGCAACAGCAGCACCAACAACAACTACAACAACACCACGGCCCCCTCGAATCGCATGCGGGGCAGAGGATGCTGGCGGTCGCGGCATGTAGTAGGCGGGGCCATCGAGGAAGCACTCTGGTGGACTTCGCGATGACCACTTGTCTCCCACTCAACACCCTGCAATCATGTACCTGCCGGCGCTCCAAAAAATACATACCATTGCGATGACAGGGCGAGCACTCCGCCATTGCCCATTTTGTTTGCCTCGAGTAGCGCCCCGACAGAAAGGAAAACGAACAAACTCCCGAATGCATCTCTTGGCTGCCTGTGGGCTCGTCCAGCTTGCCCAGAGCAGCACTCCGAGAAAACCTCGCAGTCGGCTCCGGCGGGCGCTCTCGCTGGTGACCAGTGGAGCTGGCCGTCTTCGTCTCCTCCGACTTGGGGTGGCCGAACTTTCCCTCGAAGATCCCGGTGCCATCCAGCAGGGTCTGCGTGCTGCCTCGTAGCTTCCGGCGCTCTTTGAGCCTCTTCACTTTCTCTGGGTCAAAATTGTCCTCGTCACCCAGCTCCTTCAAGACGACCTTCATGACATTGTGGAGGTTCTCTTCGTCGTCCCTCGAAATCTCCAGCGCCAGCTCGGGCCAGCTCTGCGCAGTAAAGGCCTTCTTCCCTGCCCTTCCCCACGCGTCCACAAGGCACCTTGCGATGAGATCGCGCCCTTTTGACCTTGTGTGCCATGGGGGAGAACACGAGGATCAGCTCGAAAATCTCTTCTGGGCTCATTTTCTGGACAGCGTCGTAGAACCGACAACGGCAGTCCATGATGGAGTCGTCTGACTGCTGCGGCAGCCTGCCCGATGCGAGCGCTCACCATCCATTCCCCGCCTTTTGGCTCCACCACAATGGACGGCCTACTCTTGTACAGGAGGAACTTCGACTTGCGCCCAATGTCTGGCGACCCCTGGGAATCATCGCCGAACATGCCCTTCATCTTGTCCACCTATTCTTTCATGAACTCATTCTCGGGGTGGCTATCCTGCGCTTTGACGAGCTGTGACCAGCCCGCCTTGCACCAGAATTGCCACTTGTGCCTTCTCGAGTAGGGGCTGGGGCCTCTCTACCGCAACTTGTTCGGGAAGGCAAGCCCGCGCGAGCAGGCTCCACCCCTTCTGCGTCCCATACTGTGCCCCTCCCGCATACGTTGAACAGCTGCATGTTGTCGCTCCACTAGTCCACGAAGTCCAGCGCCTTGAAGTACGCCGACAGTTGTTATCCCATGTTCTTCGCCGTATTGTAGTCGCCCATCTTATCTTGCCCTTCCAACTCTTGTGTTGCCATCATGGCCATGTACTCCGTCGTTGATGTCCATGGCCGTGCACTTGTCGAGCAGGATGTCGCATTCCTCTGCGCAGCGTAGAGCCTCCGTGATGCCATCTCCTGCTTTGCCAAACAAGGAAGCTTCAAAGATGCCTCCATGAATTCTGATGCCCTCCAGCAGCGCCTTTGCCACCTCCTTTGGCTTCTCCAGGGCCAACTCGCTCCAGTGCGAGATTTTTTGGGGGAGGCCTTCTTCCTCCGCCAGGAGATCTTGCGCTGCTTTGATATGTCCCAAGACGTGGGCTGCCCACGCGGTTCCTTTTGCTTTCCCCGTCTGTCTGTTCTCAGCAGACCTGCTCATTCGAAAAATACGTTTCTCAAAGGGCCCAAGGACACACAAATAAATACACACAAATAAAATAATGCCCCATATGTTCCTATGTTTTCAATTTTTCGCCCCGCGCAATTCCAATATTTTCCGATATTTTCTTGGGGATCGACGATTAATCGTGTCTGTGTTTTTTCCCCCTCCTGATTGTCTCCTCCATGCAGAGTATTTTCTTCATCACTCTCCATTCTTCCCACTCCTCCTGCCTCAGCTCCAGCTCAGGAGGAGGAGGAGGAGAGGGAGGAGGGGGGGAGGTGGAAGACGAACGATGGAGGTAAGCGGGATGAGGAGAGGCAGGGGAAGGAGAAACAAATCAGGGTTGGGGAAAGGGGGAGGGGACGGTGAAGACGGGGCCTCCTCCTTCTTCCTCCTCCACTCGCACGCGTGCTTCCACCCTCCGCCAGGCGCCGTTGAAGGGCCCGGGGTTGTCGGCGGGCATCGAGCCCTTGCTGAAGCGAAGCTCGCAGTTCTCCGGCCCGAACTGGAAGTCGAAGCCCAGGCAGGCCTCGCGGGCCGGAAGGCAGGACGAAGACACTTAGGGAGCAGGAGGAGCAGGGAGTAGGAGGAGGAGGATGGAGGGATGCGGGGCAGGAGGAGGAGGAAGGAGGAGCAAGGAGGATTAGGAGGAAGGATGGAGGGGGTGCGCACCCACACATCATGAGCTGCGTGTGTAGTGTGCAGACAACCTCTGGGAGGTCTTCGCGAGAACGATCAAAAACTATGAGCTCGATTATTGGGCCATTGAAAGACCTCAGCTAAGATTATCCCTTTAATTCACATAACAAGTAAGAAACAAGATTGCACGCTGGATGGAATTCGCTGGAATTGAGCGAGATTGAGCCGGACTCTGCCTGTTCATTGGCGGCGAGCGAGGGGGGGGAAGTGAGAAGGAGAAGGCCTTCTCAGAAGGAGAAGGCCTTCTCAGTAGAGGACTTCTCAGAAGCCCTCCGGCCTTCTGAGCTTTACTTATGTCTCCAGGGAAGGCTCAGAAAACGTCTCAAAATGCAGGGTGACTGCCGAACCCTCTGAGAAGGCCTTCTTCTTCTCACTCCCCCCCTGGCTCGCCGCCGAGTCCAGGACACATATATATATATATATATATATACCAGCGAAGATGCCAAATATGACCTCCCAGGAGATGCACGCGTGTCCGATCCTCGCCCGACCGCACGTTCTAGGGCAACTCCTGGGTGGCAAGGGCTGCGAGGTCCGAGTCAGAAGCCATTGAGCCGGACCAGCCCAACCTAAGCCCAAGATTAAGCTGTGATTACGCTGCATGGCGCGGGATTGTGCTGGATTGCTCCAGTTTTCGAACGAGGAAATACCAACGCCGATGCTGAATGAAACCTCCAACGAATTGCATTATCACGCACTGGACTGTCTCTCTCTCTCTCTCTCTCTCCGTAGGCCGAGCAAAATCTCAGAAATATGCTAACCCTGGCTGGGTGTACTCATCAGTGTGCCAGCGTGCATGCGGGCGTACGCACGCTGGAATACCAGCGCCGCTGCGAGGCAATGCCGAGTCTACACACGTCACGCGCAGCACGCGTATCGCACAAACATCCGAACACATCTTCACACACGCAAGCAAAGGAACACCCACACCATAAACTAATATACATCTCCTGGCAACGACCCTGTCGAAATTCAACATCAGCAACCAATCCACGCTCGAACCCACGGGTGGGAGATAGAGTGAGAAGGAGAGAGAGGGATAGAGCGTGAGTGAGAGAGAGAGAGAGACAGAGACAGAGAGAGAGAGAGAACAATAGAAAAGCAAGAGAGAGCGAGAGTAAGGGAGGAAGGGCGAGGGAGAGAAGTAGAGAAATAACATACTAACAAACGCACGGTCCCAACGCGTTTTGTTACGTTCTAGCCATGGATTGTTCGACTGCCTCGCCATATTAACGCGTCGGTGCTGAAATGAACTGGGTTCAAGGCCGTGGGAAGAACTACACCAATTCACAGCGAAGGTCACGCAGCCTTCAAAAGACTAGAATGGCTCTCCAGAAACGTGAGACACCACAACCACACGGGGGCTGCAACAGCTTTCAACATTGGCCGGGCCGACCGCTGAGAGGTGCTCGAGGCTGCACTCAGTTGCAGCGAAGGCGACGCCACCCTCCGTGCCAGACAACATGGGCGACACCAGTATAACGAAAGAACTATGTTCTGGTTAGGACAGATGGGGCTGCACAACAGATCTGCGCACACTTAATTTGCGATGTGGGGAATGTCGATCATTCTCTAATACTCTGCGGCGCGAACACACCCTGCGTCGGTCTCCAACGCACATCATGCGTAAGAGCAAATGTCAAATATACAAACACGATCCGCCAAAAATGCAGCGTGTCATGTGAATGGTGTTGGTGCTATGATTCTGCAATGCTCACCGCCAGCGGATATATGAAAACGTGCGTGCATGCATGTAGTTGTCACTGGAAGAGATGTAAGCGTCTAATGTTTGCAATTGCTTCTAGAAAGAATGTGTCCGCGAATGCATAAGTAGTGTACATGTCGGTGTATGGACTCATTTACATGAACTATGTGACTCATGCAAGAAATGCTTGCCCAACAGTTGTACACGTTGTGCGCGCCTGGGTGCCACTACCAGCTGGTGTTTCGAGATCATCCGCCGACATTGCGACAGCCATCAACGAGAGGGGGAAGACAGGTTGCAACGACGCTAAGAACCGTTCCCATCCTGGGCCAGCAGCGCGATACAGAAGTGCAGAGTGCACGATACCCATGTGTATTCTGAAAGTTGAAGGCAAAATATTTCAAAGCAGACCGATGTAAACAACAGACGTGTGCCTCAAACGGCACGTCGATGCTGACGCGCGGTGCTACACAAGTCAAACTGCGGCGTCGTCGGACGGTGTAGATCGATCATTTCTCACGCGACCAGCACGCGACGATGACCGTACCGTCTGGGCCCGAGACTCCAGAACTCTTGCGACGGCCTGCCTGAAGCATGTGCACTTCAGTGGAGGAGACTGGGCACTGATGGGCCGATTCTCCACCACTACTACCGTAGGTAGGAGGAGGAGGCGGAGGAGGAGGAGGAGGAGGAGGAGGAAGAGGAAGAGGAAGAGGAGGACGTCCCCAGCCTCTCCTCCCGCGTCCTTCCTGTGGTGGCGGTGGTGGAAGATGCGCCCATCGGGAACGGCGAGGTGAGTGAGCGGCGGAGCTCGAGCCCGCGAGGGCAGCCAGGCCGAGGGCCGGCCTCCGTGCTGCTGCACTGCTCCTCGCACACCGGGAAAGGCAGGGTGCCCCACCAGCAGTCGTAGCCCTCCTCCTGAGTGCAGGGGCCGTCGGGGAGATCGGTCGAACATCGTTTGACCGACTCCTATATCCCCATGTACCCCTCCAGATGGGGATATAGGCAATGATCATTGGAGTTCGAAGGCTACATCCCCGATTGACGTGGTGGGATGGCGAGGGTCGAGGTGAGGATGTGGGATGGGGATAGAGGTCTGTAGAACGATCATAGGAGAAGGAAAAGGCAGCGCCGAGAACAAATTCCAGCGCGCTTCGCCTTTTCATTTGTCCCCTCTGCCGCTCCCGCGGCGTCTCAACACTAAATACTCGTATTACGCAGAACGCGTGGAGCATGTCGGCCACGATGAAGAACAATAATCATGAGAGGGTCTTTAGCCCCCCAGGAAAATACTGGAAACGTTTCTTTGCGCGGGCTTCCCTGGATAATGGGAAAATGCTTATTTCCTTGCGCGGGCTTAATGACGGATTGGGATCCCGTACGTAATCCCCAACAACTTTTGGAAAATACGTATTCCCCGCGGCGGAGTCCGCCGTCGTCGTCGTCGCCGCCACCGTCGTCATCGTACTTGCAGAAGGCCCCCTCCTCCCTTCCTCCTCCTTCTCCTCCTCCTCCTCCTCCTCCTCCTCATCCTCCAATAGCAATTATGTTTCTCCTCATCCTCCGTCTCCTTGTGCACACAGTCTGAGCAGGAGACGCCTACTGCGTGGGAGGACGAGGAGGGGAAGGACGAGGAAGGGCAGAACGAATTTCACAACCAGCCGAATGCTTTTTGGGGGGGTGACCAGCAGCATTAAAGACCCTCTGCTCTGAGCTTAATCGATGCCGTAGAGGCGTTGACAAACAAATGCCAACAGAGCCAGCGCACACGCGGCAGAATTTCGCACATGCTCGGACGAATGGAAATGTGAGAAGTCCGAGGATGAGGAATCCAAACGATCCAGGGGGATGGGACAAGCGGCAACAACACTGTGGATCAACACATCGCGTGGCAGACTGGGAACGCCACAAGCCGACGTTGGACGCGGTCGCCCAAGTGAAGACCGCCCAAATTAGGGCTGGGCCGGAGGATCCTGCCACATCTCCGATGCATCGGCCATGGATCGGCGGCGCCGGGGTGCAGAAAGCCCGGGCTCCAGAGCGCCCCGCATCGCCGATGCACCCCGCACACCCGAACCAAAAGCCAGCGGCGAACTGGCCTCCCACACATCTTCTCAGATTCTCTTGAGTTTCGTTGTCCCCCTCATTTCCCATAGGTCCCCTCTCTTTTTTTGTCCTGTGGATCGACGATTCCTAGCGTCTGTGCGCAATTTCCCCTCCCGGCGCGTTCTGCGCCTCCCCCCCCCGCCGCTGGCGGGACAAAGCGTCCGGGAAAAGCGCCAGCTCAGGGCGATCCGACAGAGCATCGGCGAAGAGGCCCCGGCCAAGGAGCCCGCCCGGTCTCGAGCGAGGTCTGGCCATCGCTCGGACGTCCATTCCCTGTGTTTTTGTCGGCTCCGTGCGTGGTTTTTTCGCCAAATGATCAAGAATGCTCCTCGATGGTCCTCGCCGAAAGAAAAATGCACACGTCCGAGCGATGCCAATGGGTGGAGGAACCGGGCCCCTGCGTCTCGAGCAGGGACGGACCGCCCTGGCGTTCCTATGGGCCCCTACCACGGAGTGTGCCTCGAAAAGCAGAGCACGGTTCTTGGAGCAGAATCCCGACGTGTTAGAAACAAGACAGCCTCCGCCAGAAATGCTCTCAGGACACTGCGCGCAGACCACAACAAAAAGGTCCCTAGAACATTCTCTGGTGGGCTCATAGGGAAGCCAGGACGCTTCGCCACTAGGTGAATACCAGCGATCAACTGGCCATCGCTCGGACGTCCATTCCCTGTGTTTTGTTCGGTTTCGTGCTTGGTTTTTTCGCAGCATGATCCAGGATGCTCCTTCACAATCCCCGCCGAGAATAAGTGCACACGTCCGAGCGATACCAAGTCAACGGCGCTCGGGGGTCGATGCAGAGCCTATCGCCGTGCCCGATGACTTTCTCGCCATGCCCAGGACCTCCGGCTGCCACTCGGGACGCTCGGTGCACCCCTCTATATGGAACGCCCCCCGGCGAGGCGCGGCCGCCGAGGGCCGACGAGCACATCCGCAGACCTCGAACTTCTCGAGGCCGAGCATGATACGACTCTGGTCAGTCGGTCCCCGGACCACTCCAGGGTCAGGTCGGGCGCGTCCTCCTCCAGGCGGATTCTGAACGCGACATTCAACATCGTCTAAGAACATACACCAACATAGGTTTTTGACTCATTATCTTTGAATACTCCTCCTGTACAGGGACCGGCCCGACCTACCTCCAGGGGTGCATCCCGAGCCGCTCTTCGAGGCGGACCCTGCCGTGGCGACCAAAGGCCCCATGGGAGGCCTCAAGAGGACGAGGCGGCGTCGGAAATCAAGGGGCCCTGGGACACACACATAAATACACACACATAAAAATATTCCCCAGATTTCCCATATTTTCTGGGTTTTGTCTTCCCCCCCACTCCCCATATTTTCCGATATCTTCTGGGGGATCGACGATTAGTTGTGTCTGTGTTTTTGTGTCCCCCTCCTGAGGAAAGGGGGCGCCCCCCCCCCCCATGGGCGTTCCCTGTGTACCCCAGCACTGCCCCCGAGCCTGTGCCCCCCTGGCTGATGGGCCTGCTGTCCACCACCACCACCAGAAGTTGGGAGGGGGGAAGCTCGCCATCGCTCGGACGTCCATTCCCTGTGCTTTGTCCGTTTTGGGCGTGTTCTTTTTGCCAAATGATCAAGGATGCTCCTCGATGGTCCTCGCCTAAGGAATTTTGCACACGTCCGAGCGATGCCAGTGAAGGAGGTGGGTGGAGGATGCGGAGGAGGAAGACGAGGTTAAGCGGAGGAGGAGGACCCCAGCCCTCTCCTACTTCTGGTGGTGGTGGTGGGGGAAAACAGGCCCACCAGTAGCGCTGCCCCTGACAGAGGGGGGGGCGCGAGCGCGGCAGGCTGGCCGGGGGCGGCACTCCTGGGCGTCCGCGCAGGAGCCGGTGCCCAGCTCTGAGCTGAGGTCGTGGTAGGTGATCCTGGCCTGCTGAGGCGGAGGGAGGTCGATCGTTGGTGGGGGTAGGGTTATGTCGGGCGTGTCCCCCTCCAGGAGGATTTTCGATGAAAAACAAAAAAATACTCCAACAAATACACCACAAAAGGTCAAAAAATACCCAAACATAGTCCCCAGACTATCTTTGGATTATTGTTTGACTATCTTTGGTGTATTTATCATTTTTCGTCGAAAATTCCCCCTGTAGGGGGACAGGCCCGACTGAAGGGTAGGGCTCGGATGTCGCCACCCGCATGCCCTCCGCGCTCTGTCGCTTGCGAAGGGCCGAGTGCCCTCGCCTCGCCGGGAAGCGGGGGACGCTCGGGCGGCAGCGGGGCTGGGCCGGTGCCCGCCGCGCACGCTCGCGGCCGTGCTGGGCGCTGCCCGGCGGCTCTTCCCACCAGTGAAGGGTCCCAGGGACACACAAATAAATACACACAAATAAAAATATTCCCCATATTTTTCAATATTTTCTGGGTTTCTGTCTTCCCGCCCAATTCCCATATTTTCCCATATTTTCCTGGGAGGCGACGGTTAATTGTGTCTGTGTTTTTTCCCTCCTGAACCAGGCCGGACGAGGACAAGTTTGGGCGATGAGAAATCCAGAATCTGTGAGACCCGGCGGCTCTGGAGGACGCCTCGGGCGCCGCGGCCAACGGAGAGCGCTCTGGAGCGCCCTGGAACGGATCTGGCCTCGTCCCAGCCCCGTCCGAGGATGGGCGGAGGGCCAGATGGGCGTCTGGAGTCGTCAGGACGCTGAAGTGTGGACGCGCGGCATCCCGAATCGAAAGATCGGATCGACTCGGCATGTCAGGCGAATCGGGCCGCAGTGGCACGGAGCCGCAGTCGAATCGGATCGGCCGCGCCAGGATGCACAGCAGCGCCATGCGCACACGTCGGGCTGCGACGGATCGCCTGCACATCGCAGCCGAACCGAAGATCGGGCCGTCCAGCCTGGCCCGAGCCGACATCGGATCGGATCGATCGGATCGACATGGACCCTGGTCCTGGCAGCCACGACTGAGGGGCGGAGGGCCGCACCGACCACGGCGGCTGCAGCGACGAGGGCGGCGACGACGCCAGCGGCGAGGCCGATGGCGACGGGCCTGCCGGCAGTCATTGTGGCCCAGGGTGGAAGGCAGCACGACCAGGATGACCACGACTGCGACGACCACGGACACACGACAGCGACGACGGCGGCGAACAAACAACTGTGGAATGATGAACTGCTTCCGGATCTCCGCGCGGATGCCTCGGATCTGCGCTACAGCCCCCCCGGGGGCGGCGCTTCCTGCGCCGCCCCTGGCGCGCTGTGGCACGCCAGGGAGAGAGGTCCAGCGTCGACCACAGAAATCCGCGGGGAGCGCCCCGAACTTATGCATGCCCAGATCCCTCTTCTTCGATTACCCCCCTCGCGCCCTGGACGAAAATCGCGACGGCGGGAGTTGGGTAATTGTTATGCCTGTGGGGGTCCATGCCTGGCACCGGGTCCGTCCACGAGAAGAGATCCGGATGGGGAAGACCCGATCCGGGCCAGGGGGCGTGCTGCAAGAAGAGTGCGGCCGCCACATCCGATGAGATGCCGAGGCCCCTACCCCAGCCATCCCTGACTTTTCTTTCAGGACGGCGTCCCTGGCAGTCCCGACCCTCTCCCCGGGCCCAATTCTTCATCCCGAGTCGTTTGTTGACGGTCCCGAGGCCCGGCGAGGGCTCCCCGAGGCCGAAACTGGCGAAAGCCCTCCTGTCCTGATTTATTCACGACGCGATCGTGTCTGGGACCATGACTCCCCACCCTTGATCATCGCTCCCCCCTGGGCCACGCACCGACGATCAGGGGCCCAAGAGTTAGGTCGGGCATGTCCCCCTGCAGGCGGATCTTGAACGACACGAGAAGAAGTCGAGACATACTCAAACAATAACAACCAGGAAATGGAAAAGCCGTCCCCCTGACTACCTTTTGCTATTGTTGCGTTCCCCCTGTAGAGGGACACGCGCGACTTAACCCAAGATCGGGCGTTGGCAGGACTGGGTTTAGTGGAACCTGATTTAGTGAGTTGTACCGGGGGCGCCCCCCGTCCCTTTTCCACTATCCGGAACTGCCGTCACCCGAAAAACACCAGTCACGGCAAACACTGGTTTAGTGATCCTGGCCAGTTCGAGGGCCCCGGGGGCCCTACCACTAACTGGGTCCCCTTACCCGGGGTCCTGACTATACTTGGCGGCGCGCACAAGGTGGTAGGGGGAGGGGGGAAGGCTTCTTAGAAGGAGGCTGCTTCTTAGAAGGCGCCAGCCTTACATCCACAAAGAAGGCCCGCGCCTTCTAAGAAGCAGGGGTGCTTCTAAGAAGCCTTCCCCCCTCCCCCTACCCCCCTCTGCGCGCCGCCAACCTTACCCGGGGTCCTGGCTATACCCGGCAAGGAGCCCGAGGGCGATGAGCACCGCCGGCAGGACCGCAGGACGACTCTCCCGCCGTCGGGGGCGGCGCGCCCCGCCGCCGCCTTCCTCTCCACGTCCGCGCGCGCCTTCTGCGCGGCCCGCTCCGCCTGGAGGCCGCGCGCGCCCTAGGGAGCTCCGTCGTCCTCCTCCTCCTCCTCCTCGCTCCCCCTCCTCCTCCTCCTCCTCCTCCTCCTCGCTCTAGTCTCTTCCTCCTCCCCCTCCTCCTCCTCCTCCTCCTCCTCCTCCTCCTCTTCCTCCTTCTCCTCTTCCTCCTCCTCCTCTTCCTCCTCCTGCTCCTCCTCCTCCTCCTCCTCCTCCTCGCTCTTGTCGTCGTCGTCGTCGTCGTCGCCGTCGCCGTCGTCGTCGTCGTCGTCGTCGTCGTCGTCACCCCCACCATTCCAGAACCACTCACGCGGGAACGAAGAGTGGCATTCTCGCGCGCTCCGCGCGCCAGGGAAGGGGGGTCCAGCGCCGATCCGAGAAACACGCGCGGACCTCCGAGTTATTGTGTTTATGTCATCGTGCGTTTCCCAAAATCAGAAGCAAGTACTGGTCTCCTCTGTCCCCAAGAGTTTGCGAGCCCGAGCGATGCGTCGGCCCCCCGCTGCCACTCCGGCGGCCGAGCCAGAGGGCCAAATGGAATGAACCCGCCACAGTGCCCCGTGGCACGAACAGGAGTATGGTCGGCCAGGATCAGAAGGATGCTCGGCACGGATGCTCAAGGGCCTTGGAAGGCCATGTCGACGCTTCTCGAGCGGGGCGCGGCCAGCGAAGGCGGCCAACGATGGGCAGGGGAGGCAAGGATGCAAAAGTACCTCTGGGAAGGTTGCCCATCCTTACTATGCGGGTTGACCGTCGTAGGGTTTCTGTGGGTCTTCTGTCCCCCCACCCCGCCCACCTCGACGCACAGTGGGCAGTGGACCGTGCCCTCCTACCCCCCCCCCTCCTCCTGGAGGAGGGGGAGGAGGAGGAAGAGGAGGAGGAGGAGGATGAGAAGGAGGAAGAGAGGCGAGGCGAGGCGAGCGCGCGGTTCCGCCGGGAGCGGGGCCCTTGAGGGCCTGCGCGGGGGGGCCGAGGCCCTCAGTGCTTGTAGTCCTTGTTTGCCGAGGCTGGGGTGCTGAGTTATGAACTGGTGGACGCCAGAGGTCAAGTGGTGCAGGTGGAAGTGGAGAGTCGGAAGCCGGATGCTGGAGTCGGAGTGCTGGAGGGTGGAGGAGGAAAAGAAGAGGAGGAGGAGGAGGAGGAGGAGGAGGAGGAGGAGAGGAAGAGAGGAGGAAGAGAGGAGAGAGGAGGAGGAGGAGGAGGAGAGGAGGAGAGGAGGAAGAGAGGAGGAGAGGAGGAGGAGGAAAGAGAGGAGGAGGAGGAGAGGAGGAGAGAGGAGGAGAGAGGAGGAGGAAGAGAGGAGGAGAAAGAGAGGAGGAGGAAGAGGGAGGAGGAGGAGGAGAGGAGGAGGAGGATGAGGAGGAGGAGGAAGAGGAGGAGGAGGAGGAGGAGGAGGAAGGGAGGAGGCAGGAGGAGGAGGAGGAGGAGGAGGAGGAGGAAGCCCGCATTTCTCCGGGCGGCCCGACGCCCCCCTTGGGATGTCCGAGAGCCATCCGTGGCCTCCAGGACGGCCCCGGGAAGGCCACGGGGGCCGCCAAGGGCGGCCACGGCCCTCAGCCACCCCAAGAGAGCACCCCCGAGAGGCACCAACAGGGCCCCAGGAGGCTTCCAAGGCAAGAGCAAACAGTCCGCGAGGCCCTCCAGGCAGGCCCAAAGCACGCAACTGGCTCCGCCTCCGCACAAACTCTGATTTGGGAAGGCGGGCGACCTCCACTGCCTCCCCTTCCTCGACTTGAGAATCTCCGGAGGACCTCTTCCTCGGTTCCTCTTCCTCGCAAACTCGAGAGTGTCGCTTGGCAACGGACAGCGGGCACGGGGCCGGTGCGAAACCGCTCGCTTGGGAATGTGGGCCGGGGAACGGAAAATGACATACACATGAAAACTCGGAGAGCCGCGCGGGTTTCCGAGTTGTCATGTCTATGTGATTTTTCGTTCCCCTAGCGGGGATGCACGGTGCGGGCCTGCTGGCCACAGGAAAGCTCCCAAACGGGCCATTGCAATGTCGCCCAGCACTGCAGGGTCGACCCGGGGTCCGAACAGGGCCGCCCAGAGGCGTGCAGAACGGATCGCGGACAAAATCGGAGCCAGTCTCGCCACGCCGATTGAGGACTGCCTTTGGGCAACCCTGGGGGGTCCTTTTTAAGGTGAGCAGGAGAACCACCCCCTCAAGATGAGCACGCCCCCCGCCCTTTGGGAGGGGACCAAGTTAGGAGGGCCAAGAAGATGAGGGATAAGGGGTCTCGTCTGACGATGCATCAGGCCAAACCGCCCAGATTCATGCTCCCTAATGCGAAGACGGGGACCTCAGTGAGGCCACGTCTTCAGCGCGTTGGGAAGCACAAACCATCCGCATCAGCTCCCTGGTGGGAAACGCCCAAACCAAAATGCTGAAGTCCCTGGGGGGTCCTGCTAGATGCGACCCCAGCGGAGGAGCCTCATCATTCGCAGGAGCGTGCAGGAAAAAAGGTTCCCCGCTATCACCTAGTCAGTTAATGTCATCTCGATCGTGCTCTCAGCGAACCTAGGGAGGGGATAACAACCTATCTACCATCCCGCTTTGCTTGCAAATTGGTAAGCAGCTCGTGTGGAGCCACTCGCCAAGGCAGATGTTGCTGCTAGGCGCAAGAGCAGCAGAAAGAGGCAACCGTGGGCGGGGGGGAGGTAGCAGGAGCTCATGGATGCCGCGGAAGGAAAAAGGGTAGGACGAGCAGTGCGGGGAAACACGCACACCCACATTCACTTGCTGCGCTGCCCCGGGCCTGACACGGGCCCACACAAGCAACGTTTTTTCTGGTCGGCGGCGAGGCAGAGGCAATCCGCTCCGGGCGTGTTGCTATTCGGGGCAACCGAAAGCGGCTTGTCCGGTGTGCAAGAGTCGGGCTGGGCGAAAGGGGGGATAGCAAAGGGGGGGGGGAGAATTAGCTCACGTAGCTGATTTTCCCGGCGCCGCCCGGCGCCTGAGGCGGCCATGTATCGAGGAATGAGCCCCTCGGTGGGGCCGAAACCAGCTGCATGCAGCAGATTTCGTAACCCCCCCTTTCCCTATCCCCCCCTTTCGTCCGGCTCGAAAGAGGGAAGCGCATGGGCAGCGCACGCGGACAGAAACAGCAGCAGCAGCCGTTCCATGCAGGACGCCGGCCGTCCTGCAGACACCTGGCGGCTGCTGCTCTTTCCGCGCCCGCGGGCGCCACCCTGGAGCGCAGATCGGGCGCGGCGCGCTCGGGCGCCGGTTCCATGCCTGAGGGCACCGCGCCCGACAGCAGGAAGGGCCAAGGTGGCGGGGCAGTTCAAGAATTATGCTGCCACCATCGTGCTTCAGGACCACATCCCAGAAAGAACCTCGAGCACCCAGAAAAGTATCGAAACAATGTCGAACGAGTATCGCCTCCCAGGGCCCTGCACGTGAAAACCCTCCAGTTTCGGTACTGTTTCCGTGCTCGAAAAGCTCTCTGGCAATCAAAGCGAAAGTAGGCTGGAACACCATAATTCTAGAAATGAGTATTCGACGATCGCCACCTTTTCCTCAGCCCCATCTTTTCTCCTTGTTTGCCCCCTTCCCCTTCCCTTCCTCGCTCTCCTCCTCGTCCCCGTCCCCCGCCGGGCCGTCGTCGTCGTCTCCCTCCTCGTCCTCGATCCTCGTCGTCCCTCGTCCCTCGCGCCCGTCGCTCGACGACGACGCCGCCTCGCCCGATGCCAGATCTGACGTTGGCGGCGCGCACAGGGGGGTATGGGTGAGGGGGGCAGGCTTCTTAGAAGCACCCCTGCTTCTTAGAAGGCGCGGGCCTTGTCTACAAATGCAAGGCCGGCGCCTTCTCTAAGAAGCAGCCTCCTTCACAGAAGCCTTCCCCCCTCCCCCTGCCCCCCTCTGCGCGCCGCAGATGACGCGAGGGGGGGGGGCGGCTCGCCCGCTGCTCGCGGCTCTCCTCCGTGGCGAGGCTGCCGTGGATCCGGAACAGCGCCGCGCTCAGCAGGCTGCCGCGGTCCTGGGCGCGGGCTCCGCGCGCGGGGGCCCGCGCCGGCGCGCGGCGGCGGCGGGGCGCCGTCCCCCCCGCTCGCCGCGGGCAAAAACGCCGCGGCGGGGCTGCGGCGAGCGGCCTCGCTGCCGCGGGCGGGCATGTGGCAAGAGCGCCGCGCCTGTTTCTGGATGAGAAATAGTCGGCGACACGCAAGAGTGACCCTGGGTGAGAGTGACCTTTAGTGCGCGGACTGAGGGGGCGCAAGGTGGCCAAATCCAAGGGCGCAAGCAGCCACTATCGCATCGCGCTCAGCGGTCTGGGGGACCCCGGTGAGCCCGCACCAAAGGTCACTCCGGCGAAGGGTCACTCTTACGTGTAGTCGAAATAGGTGGGCAGGAATCCCCCCCCCTCAGAATGATCACCCCGACACGCGAAGCCGTTTGGCAGACGCACCCACAGAAGGAACCGCACAGGGCAAGGTTGTTCAAAAGAAGCCCACGGCCGTTTAGGAAACGCCAGTTGTCGGGTCCGGGTGGTTTTTCCTCCCTTGAAGAAGAAAGCCCGACCGCAGAACTTCGCTTGACTCGGCCACGACGGCTGTGCGAATCAAAAGGTCGCCAGGCAACCTAGGAACACTGCAAGAACCGACCTGCGACTGGCAAACTCATGCCCTGAGCCGTGGCCTGAAGAAAGAAAGAACGACCGTGCCGCATGCGTGAGTAAGGGAAAAAGAAAGCGCCGCGACAAAATACCCTGGACCGGCACTTCTAGTTTGTCGTGGTTTTGTTTGGCGTTGGGATCTGCGCGTTTGACACCCGAGAACGAAACCAAACCCTGGGCAATGGCTGCTTTGCCGAAAGATCGGTCCAAGATTTGCCCGCAAACGGAACATGGAACGCCGCAAGTTTAATTCGGCAACAACGTTGGTCAAACATGTCCCTCGAGAAAAAACAGACAGAAATTATGAAAGTGGCTGTGCTCCTACTTTCTTGTGTTTCGCCGCGTTTGCTCCGTGGGGCAAGCTGCTGACAACGCGACCGCCAGATTTGCAAATGCGAAACATATGTTTCCCCTGGCGAGCGATCGTCGTGCCAGCCTCCTTGCCAAAATCCCAAGCGCACCGGGGGCACCACGCGGTTCACAGACGGCGCCGTCGCCAGCATAAAGATCACCATGTTCAGTTGTTCGCAACCAGGGCAATGTGAGGCGACATCGTCGCCAAGTAACTATTAGTTTGCGGTAAGAGAGAGGATGTGTGAGTAGGAAGAAGGCAACGCACCATCACCACCATCTGGAGGGTGGAGGCTGAGGGTGGTCGGTGGTGGTGATGTATAATGGGAAGAAGTGGTGGTGGTGCCCTTCCTGCTCCCAAAAATCTACAACCTAGAAGAACCGCGGAGTTCCGTGCGGCCCAGATCCCTCGATCTCGGCCGATCCTTCACCTCCCATCGGGGCGCGCAAACATAGATTAGCGATCCGTGGATTTGGCTCGCGGTCGCCAAATCCACGGATCGGGGGAGGTGCCCTCCCCAAAGCGCGGCTGGTGCCGCCTCGCTCGGCGGCAGAAATCCGCGACTCCCCATTGGGGCCATCGTGTGCAACAGCTTGTGGGGCTGTTGGGCGTTCGCTTGTTAGCTTTGTCCCCTCGAGTGTTGGGGCCACTGTCCAAGTGCCATCCTCCGATTTGTTTTGTTTTTTCTGCCACCCGCGGCCCACTAGGCGGCGACCGCTTCCCTGGGGGGAGCTTCACGGCCCGGACCCACGCGACGGCCCGGCGCCCCGAGAGCTGCCCCCGAGGGGCGAGATCTGGAAAACAGATGCCTCCCAACTGGGCTCCGAGTGGACGGGACTCGGGGCGATGTCGGCGATGCGCAAGCGACGTCGACGTGGACGACTCGGGCTGCGCGTCGAGACGCATCGCCGATGCATCGGCGCCACGGAACGACCCCGAGGACCCCGCGGTCAAGGAAAGCTGCCCTCGAAGGACGTCGTTGTCGTCTTAGTCGTCGTCTGTGTCGTCGTCTTCGTTGTCGTCTTTGTCTTTGGTTTTGTCTCTGTCTTTGTCTTTGTTTATGTGTTTGTCGTCGCGACCACGCGCAGAGGAGGCCTCCTGCCCTCCAAGCAGCTCGGGGGCGCCCCCCCGCCGGGCCGCACCGCGGCCCCTGAGGCCCGCGGCCGCCCCGCGCGAGAGGCAGAGCGGGCGGCCCTCGCCGACGTGGCCGAAGGGGCTCGGGTCTGGCCCGTGGGAACATACGGCGGGCTCGTGCGGTGCCAGCTTCAGCACCAAACCAACCTGCCGCAGGCTCGGCTTCGGCTTCACGACCCGGCGCGGCGCGGAGGAAAGGCGATTGGGGTCGCGGGGTGCAAGCTAAGAGCGCTCGCATCATATACGACGTCCTGCCCCCCCCCTCCAACGACCGACAACCGACAGAGCACCCGCGACCAACGACGACAACGACGCGAACCGCCCCAATTTTGGGTTCTGACACCGCGTGGACCGTTTAACCTGGAACGATCGGCCGCTCCCGAAACATCCGATCGTTCAACATCGACCAAATCTGGGTCGCCGGCGGCGTTCAACGTTGAGCGCCGGCGGCGGGGTCGCTGCTGATCGAGACGACGCGAACCTATCGTGCGCGACCCAAGGCTCGGTCCAATTGAGGGCTGATTTGGACCGGATTTGGAATACTTTATTTCGTCGGAGGCGAAGCAGAGACTGGCTGCGCCAACGATAGAGCCAAACGGGGCCACCCAGAAGCGAATTGCCCAGCGTGCAGGACGAGGGGAAAAGACGGGCAGGACGGCCGCGGAGGAGGAAGGAGGACGGGATGGATTTGGAACGCATGCGGGATCAGAGTTGGAGCAAATGCGCTCCGCAACGAGGGAGACAATAGGAACGAGGGGGGGCAGCAGGCAGGGCAATGCCCACACCCCTGGCGAGCGATTCCCTCCCCGCGCGCCCGCGCTACCACATACAGCGGGAAGATGGCGCCGCGCCGCTGCTCTGATTCAGCTCTCTGAGGAGGAGGAGGAGCAGCAAGCAAACAAGACCTTGGCAGCTGGTGTCTCTCGCTGCGTGGCTCACCTTTTAGGGGTAAGGCCTGTAGCCCTGACTGTAGTTGCTGGTAAACTCAATGCGAGCACGCCTGCGGGACTTTATAGCCCATCACGGACCTTCAAAGCCCGCGTTAGCACGAAGGCGCACCACACTTCGTTTAAGTCGCTGTGGGTTGAGGCTTACAGCGTTTGGGCCCATCACCTCAACCTCAGGGCTGACGGGTGCGGAGGGAGGCCCCAGGGAACTCGGGGCCGTCGAAAGCGAAAACAGTGCATCGATCCCTTCGGACCGCTAGAAAAAATAGCTGTGTGTGCGCCTTCGCGTGTCTAGGTCGTCCGTCCGCACTCCACCCCCCCCGCCCGCTCCACTCACTCCCCCCCCGCACGACCTGTCAGCGACTATCCAGCACGAAAAGGGTAGCATGTGATTTACCTCTCGGTCTGCCCAACTCGCCCAGGAAACGGTCCCGAGGCAGAGAGGACAGAAACGAAAACAACACTAATCGAACGCTCAAACAGCATCCAGCGCAGGGAGCCCAGGATGCCCTCACCTCTCGCCGTCAAGCTCGAGTAGGCATGGGCCTGCATCGGCAGCCTTCTCTTCGCTTCATCTCCCCTGTCTCTTGAGATCTCGGAGCAATTGACGAGCTCGTTCGCTGCCTGCCTGAGCCATGTGTCGTAGGCCGTCCAAATCGATTGTTCCTGCACCGTTGCCTGAACCGCTCGCTCCAGTGCTCCTGGTGGTGGGCTCCCTATCTTCACGATGCCGCCGCTGGCGACCAGCCCCTTGATGATGTGCAACCGAATCTCGGCAATCGTGGCGTTGGGCATCTCCGGCTGGTCGCCTGTCTTCTCCTTGTACCTCTGAATCAGCTGGGGCCTGCGGAACGGGCTGATGGCAATCGGGCTCAGCATGACGTGCAACTTGGTTTGGTCTGCCTTCTGGTTGTCCTCGTTGTACGTCTTCTTGATACGGGAGTAGCGCACCAGGTCGTTCAGCTCCTCGCGGTCCATCGCCGTCATTAATTTTGCGAATGGCTCGAGGATCGCCTTCGTATCGTCTGGCAAGACCTGCATCTTCGCGAGCATGGGAATAGTACACCCGAAGATGTGCAGATGCGGTGAGGAGGTGCAGTAGGAGGAGGAGGAGCAGGAGGAGGGGGGGGAGGAGGGGGGAGGCGGAGCAGGAGCAGGAGGAGGAGGAGCAGGAGGAGGAGGGGGGGGAGGAGGAGCAGGAGCAGGAGGAGCAGGAGTACGAGGAGGCTCGATTCGATGAGACAGAACGGGCATATGCAGACTGGAAACACCATGAAGCACACTGGCGGCAACAACAGGAGAATAACCCGATGGCATAGAGTACATACAGACGCGCTGAGGGAACAACACGGCGACCCTGACCCCAGCCGCGGCCCCAGCCCAAGCCCCAACAGAGCGCAAGAGGCTCCCAAGAAAGGCCCAAGAAAGGCTCCAGAGCGTAAGCGTCGTCGTCGTCGCCGCTGCCGCCGTCGCCGCCGTCGTCGTCGCCGTCCCCCTTCAGGGTCGGCGGCACCGGCCGCTAGGCCTTCCCAATAGTCTATACAGAAACGCTGAGGGAACAACACGGCGAATGGCTCAAATCCCCAGGACGCAGGGAGGTGGCTCAGAAGAAGAGGAGTATGATGAGTGATCTTAGAATAGGATGTATACTGCAACATAGTCTCAAATTAGGCCTAACACAAACTGTTCTTGGAACCCAAGAATGTGCGATTAACAAAAACACGGTTCCTAGACATATAAGCCTGATGTGCTAAAGACAACCCCGGCCAGAAATGTTCTGAGAACACTACGTGCAGACCATAAGAGGTTCTCAGAACATTTGTTGGTGGGGTTATAGGAAAACCAGGACGCTTCGCCACTGCGTCCCGAAAGGGGTCTGGGAAGGGTAGAGGTATGGGTACCCTTGCCTCCTCTGAGCTTGGGCACCCATCGCGTGGCGGCCGTTGCTGCCCTAGTGGAACGGAGAATGACATAAACATTAAAACTTCAAGGTCAGCGCGGATTTCTCGGATCCGGGCGGGACACCCCTCCCTGGCGCGCGGAGCGCGCCAGGAGCGGCGCCGGAGGCGTCGCCAGGGGGCCCCAGCGCTGATCCGAGCAATCCGCGCGGACCTCCGAATTGTCATGTCGTGCCATTCTTCATTCCCCTAGTTGACGAACCAACAACACACACCCATACCCATAGGGGGATCGGAGAGGGCTATGGGTGCGTGTTGTCGGATGGGGGTCCTCGCTCGAACGGGAGCGTTCCCCAGGATCCGACAACCCGCACCCAGACCCACAGCCAGTCCTCCTCCCAACGACCTCCCTATGGGCATGGGTGTGTGTTGTTCGTTCGTCCCCCAGTTGCCCGTGGCCGCGGCGGCTCGCCTTCTGCCCGCCGCCGCCGCCAGCGAGGCCCTCCACGGCGAAGCCGTAGAAGCGCACGGCGTCCGCGCAGGCCTGGGGGGGGCTCCGGCCGCTCGGGCCAGGCCCCTCTCGGGAGGCACGCGTCGTGGCCCGAGTCGCGCCTGCTTCTCCTCCTGCTCCTCCTCCTCCTCCTCCTCCTCCTGCTCCTCCTGCTCCTGCTCCTCCTCCTCCTCCTCCTCCTGCTCCTGCTCCTCCTCCCGGCCAAGCTGCTGCGACATCAGGTCCTGTGCTGTCTCGGCGGGACCTTGTGGCGGGCAAAGTTGCGGACATCACCATCGATGACGGGGGCCTCTTCAGCGATCTCCCAGGCGACGCCGAGCTCGAGCAAGCGGACGTCAAGGAGGTCGAGAGACGCCGTGCTCAGTTCAAGGAGCACATCGCCAACGCGGCCAAGCAGCTCTTCGGGAGCGCAGTGGCCAGACCTGCGGCGATCAAGAAGGGACATGAGCAGCGCCTCCAGAGGCTCGCTTGCAAGCGGCGCTGTGGCCCTGAGGGGAGACCTTCCTGGCGGTGCAGCGGGAGGTGGTGAAGAGGCCGCGGCGGCCGCGGCCATCCCTGGCGCTGCGACAGCAGGTCGTGCATGTGCTGAAGTTGAACGCATTGCTCAACGGGTCCCCGGCACTGCGGAAGGAACTGGCGACCCTCCTGAGCAGGCGGCCCCCCCGCCAGCTGCTCCTGAGCTCAAGGGGGGGGGGGGGGCGTTCGTCGACAGGACCTGCTGAGAGCCGAGGGCTGCGCGCCCACGCGCTTTTCCGTTGCAGGCCGCCAGCTGCGTGGCGGAGAGCGGGCTTTCTTCTTCCCCCTCCTCCCTCCGCTGCGCCCGACTCGGTCTCGGAATTGCGCTCCGAACGCCACGTGCCGAGGCTTCCCTCGGCGCGTGATGGCAGCCACCCCTCCGCAGCCCCGCGAGCTGGACAGGCGATTGGCCACCCTACCTTCCTGTGCTGTCGGTGCCCGCGGAGGGGTGCCCTGGCCCCTCCACCCTCCCCAGAAGCCTAGTCGCCTCGTCCGAGCGTCGTCTCCGTGAACGGCAACTCTTGGGGGTCGGTGGAGGGCTGGCTCCCGAGCTTCAGTGCTGAGGTCATTGTCATCCAGGAAAGGTCGGAGGTTGAGGAGGAGGAGGAGGAGGAGGAGGAGGAGGAGGAGGAGGAGGAGGAGGAGGAGTGAGGAGTCTGTGGGCCCCAGCGACCGCAGGCCCGGGAGGAGGCCCGCTGGCGGGGGTGGCCATTCTGTGCAGGCAGGAGAGCCCAGAATCGAATCGATAAGTCAGAATCGAATCGATAAGTCAGATCGGCCATCGAAATACATTTTCTCGGAGGACATCGGCAACCGAGTCGGGAAAAGTCGGATCGGTGGAAATCGGCAGGCTAGTCTGCGTCCAATGGGAGACCGGAGCCAACATCGGAATCCAAGTCGGATCGAATCGGAATCGGAAGCCATGGAAATCGAATCGAATCGAATCGGAGAAATCGAAACGAGCCCTGTGCAGGCAGACTCAGCAACCACCCTCCCAAATCTGGCGCGGTCGCGATGGCCCACGGGGCCATTGCGGCCGGAGCTCATGCACCAGTCCAGTCCAGTCCAGAAGCCTTGCGCCAGCCACAGCGCGCGAGGCGTGAGCAATGAGTGCAAAAAAATGTGCCCGGAAGCGGATGCCTTCAGCACGCCTCCCATGCCCTGACCGCCTGCTCCCCCCTGCGAGCTGCACCGCCCGCTCGGCGGAAGTAAGCAGCAAGTCGCGCCTGGGAGCCGGAGCTCGTGCCCCGCAGGGCGAAGTGCTTCTGTCTTGCCCCGTGTACCCTGAAGGACTTCGGAAGGCTCTCGGGAGCGAATCTCGAACCTCCGTCGGCCGTGGGGGCTCCGGGTGCTACGCGCGACGAGCCCTTCTCCTGGTCGGAGGAGGCCGGGACGTGGAGCCGCCCGCCCTCACGGAGTCGAGCTTCGTCGGCTCGCTCGCTGGTCGGGTCATCTGCACTGGGGAACCTGCGCGTCGCGCTGGAGCTGGGAAAGGGTGAATAATTTCGTCCCGTCGTCGGGGGCGTCGAAGGCCGCCAGTGGCACTGTTACCAAAGAGGGCGCCTGCTTCTTCCCTCACCCTCCTGTCCGCTTGACGTTCCACGCTGGGATGGCCAAACTGCAGCACCTCACCATCAGGAAGCCGCCTTCGATGCCCTCGGCGCCGTCGTTCGGACCGCAGCCGTCGCCCCTCTGTTTCGCACGAGTGGAGTCGCAGCTGGGCG